GGCGTTATAGACAGTGGCAAGTCAAGTTTATTGAGGCATGATTTACACAAAGTTCCTCCTCTTTAGTATACAGTGCTACAAGTTTTGACAAGCACACACACTGTTGTAACCACCACCACAATCAAAACACATCACATTCTTGATTCCAGAAGCTCCTTCATAGTTGACTGGTGTCCTAAACTGCATTTCCTGGCAATCACTGATTTCGTGTAGCTGTAGAAAACGAGTTTCCTCTCTCCTTGTTACAGACAGATCACACTGCACCGCACGGGCTCCTTGTTACTTCTTGACATTCTTTTGCAGTCTCTGACTGCCTGGCCTCACCAGCTTCTTCAATTCCTCCAGCCCCAAGTCTCACTTCCATCATACTCTGCACTCTTTCCTTCTTTCTACATCTGTTGAACTCATGCTCATCCTTGCGATCTCAGATTTAACATTTCTTCAGGAGAGACATTCTTGATTAGTTCAAATCCCTCTTTGAAGTACTGTGCACACTATCAAGGAAGCAAGTTTATATTTGCATATGCATCATTTTGTCAGTGTCCCTCATTGCATTACAAGGGCAGGGACTCTGCCAGGTTTAGCTTGCAGCCATATTCTAAGCATTTAGCCTAGTGGCAGCAGCAGCAATTTCATTATAATGAAGTGAACAGATACTTTGGAACCATTACTGCTCTGGATGTTTGCCCTCCTTTCCAGTGTATGATGAGGTTTGCATTATCATTTCAATTTCACTAATACATTCATATTTCCCAACATTCTTGTCACCAAATGGTAAAGTCTAATTTCTCTCCTATTAAATTGTCGTCTGATTCAGGATTCCTTTGTGTGTGTGTGTCTGTGTGCGCGTGTGTGTGTAAAGGAAGATTTTGGGGAGAGGAGAAACAGAGAGGGAAAGATTTTCTATTTACTGGTTCACTCCCCAAATGGTCACAACAGCCAGAGCTGAGCTGAGCTGAGCTGAAGCCTGTAGATACTAGTTAATAAAAGATATTTGTAGTAACAGGTAGCATCAATGTAACAGGAGAATAAGTTGAGTAACTATTTTTAGATGAGAATGTTGTTTATGATTCAATAAGAAATGGCTTTGAAAGTATTGGACTTTAGAAAGAGAATATGTAATATACCCAACCTCAGGCTATGATATGAAAGCTAAAAATAAAATTATGAAGAAAATGTGGAAAATACTATACAATCACAACTTTGGCCAAGAGACTTTTCAAAATAAAATACAAAACCTAAAACTAGAGAAAAAGATGTGCACTTGCCTCACTTTTAATGAGTACAGTGCTTCAGAGGCATGATGAGGGACAGTGTTGTGGCACAGGACTTGAAACTGCCACCTGCGATGCTGGCCTCTCACCTGGGTGCTGGGTTTGGTCCTGGCTGTCTCACTTCTAAATCAGTTGCCTCACTGGAAGATGGTCCAAGTGCTGGGTACTTGCAATCCATCTTGGAGACCCAGAGGAATCTCCTGGCTTCTGGTTCAGCCCCGGTAACTGGACATCTGTGTGTTGAACCAGCAGAGGACAGAACTCTCTGTAACTTTAACTTTCAAACAAACTAAATACTTTATTTAAAAAAAAAGAAGTGACATTATCATAGAAGCCACTGTATTTTCATGTTGCTCTTTACTGGGTTATGCACATTAGAGGAAGCCCACTGCCATTTTGCATGAACACCAAGTAGTCGTAGGTGAAGCTCATGTCATGGGGAACTGGCTTCCTACCAATGGCCACTGAGGAACTAAGAGAATTGACTCCTTCAGCCTGAAGGTTTTCAGATGTCTACACCTTAGCCAATGCCCCAAGTTACTTACGTCACAGATTGTAACTATTCCCAGATTTCTACCCACAGGGATTATGGGAACTAATGCTTGTTTTAAGTTAGTAAGTTTGGGGATAATTTGCCACATAACAGGAGAGAGTTGAAAGGAAACCATGGGGGAAATATAGCAAATTTAAGTAACTTGTTTAAGGATATGAAACCGCACAATGGCAGACACAATGGTAGATCCCAGGTCCAGACACAAGCCACTGTCGTGAAGCGGGTGTCCTCTGTGTCATGCCACACTGAGCATGGCAGGTAAGGCTGGACCAAATATAGCATACTAGCAATGCTTAGTAAGGCAAACACAAATTTGTCTTACTGTGCTATTATAAAATTTTTGCAGATTGGTTCTTTTTGCAATTCCAGGAATTGTTTTCCAGATTTCAGGAGAAGCTGCTGACTGCAGGAGTTTCTAAGAGAACAGTGAGTTAAAGGCAGTCTTAGTAAGAATTTTAAGCGACCTGTATTATTTGAAGAATTTCTGAGATGCTGTTTTTTTTTTTTGTTTGGAAAAATATATCAAAGCAAGTTTGCTGTTACAAAAGAGGTAACTTGAAAGTAACTGTTTTCTTTAGTTCATCAATGTGATATTGTAAAATAGTTTTCATGTTGTGATTTGGATATGAGGTTGCTAAGTTATACATATGTGTGTTTATTTGCATTAATATCCATATATCACACATATTTAATATAGTAACATATATTTAAACACTTACATTTATAATTTCTAAAGGGAGTTTTTAGTTACCAAATAGCCAACACTTTGGTGCAGGAAAAAATTTCTTCAACAGAACACAAATGGCAATCTTCAACTTGTGTTCTCCAGTTACTTCTCTGACACACTCGGTCATCATGGAACATGGAAGCAGCCCAGTAGGGAAAGCTCCAACGCAGGTTCCAGGGGGACCAGACTGATTAATGGGAGCTATCTGCACGCACAGTGCCTAGTCATGACCCAGTTCTTACTGATGAGATTTCTTCATCCCATCTCAATGGAACTTCCCATCTTTCCCCTTCCATTTTCCCAATCAAAGCAGCATGACATTATTTCCATCTAATCACTCTAGTGCCTTTGTTCACTTTATTAAAACAGTTACTGCTTTTTTAAGATAAAAATGCCTGGAGGTTGCCCAATCGGGAACAGAAAGGTTCGCAGACATTATGAAAAGAAAATGTGAGGGGCCTGGCACATAGCTCAGTGGCTAAATCCTCACCTTGCAAGAGCTGGGATCCCACAGGGGCACCAATTCATGTCCCGGCTGTTCCACCTCCCATCCAGCTTCCTGCTCATGGCCTGGGAAAGCAGCAGAGGATGGTCCAAAGCCTTGGGACCCTGCAGCTGCATGGAAAACACGAAAAATCTCCTGGCTTTGGACTAGTCATTGTAGACATTTGGGGAGTGAATCAGAGGATGGAAGATCTTTCTCTCCTTCACTTTGTAAAGTTGCCTTTCCAATAGAACTAAATAAATTCTTAAAACAAAGAAAATAAGAAGTGTTAGCATGAGGTGGAATAACATTTTGACCTGAAACAACAGTAACTCAGTGGAGGAGCTCCTGTGTGTTCCTCTTCCGACGGAGGAGAAGGCTGCATTTTCTTCTTCTTTTTTAATTATCTATAGGATTTTTTCCCCATTTTTTTCTTTATTTTTGACAGTCTTTACACACTTAATTAGGGCACAAATGTTCAAGGGCTACAGGAAAGTGGGTAAGACTATTATTTCCACATTTTGTTTTGAGATCGCATTTTCCTCAGGCAGCTGCTGCCGTCTATCCCACCCCACAGGCTTGTGTGACGGACGCTCTTCCCAGTGAGGAGCTCCCCTCTTTCAACCTCAGCTGACCCTTGTGACTGCACAAGCAATAGAATCTGGAGGAAGTTGTCCAGCTCAGCCCAGTCAGCCTCCAGAATCAAAGCTACTAAGTTCTGGGGTTATTTATCATGCAATAGAAGACAGGAACATGATCTTGATTCTAAATTGTCTTTACATTTTCCTTGTTCTTCGTTTTAAAATTTTTATTCAGGTTGTTATTTTCTATGATCTTACTTCAGGTCCCCCTCCATACTTACTGGCAGAGAGTCTAAGTGTAATATAATTACATTTTTGAAAACAGCTCTCCTATAATTGACTCAGCAAAACATATGCTCGGTAATATTCTGTAAATTAGGATAACTTAAGAAAGTTTCATTATCATTTTCAAGGGCTTTTTAAAAATTGAAATAAATGACTTGTGTAGCTGCTGTTCCTCAAAACATAGCCTAACTAATTGTAACAGGACAAAACGACTGGTTCATCCACAAATAGACCCTGAATGTACATTTATCGGGTAACCATTGTGTGTAAGATACTAGGCCAGGTTCCAAACAAATGTAGGACTCAATCACAGCTTTTAAAGGGGCTTCTGAACTAAGCTATCATACTTTTTAATGCCACCATACAAAAGAACTGAGCATGTCCAGTAAAGTCTTCTAGTAGTTTCAATGAAAAAGGAACACTTACAACAAAGTAAAACCGCCTGAGAAGCATTTTTTGGAAATAAAACCTCTACAGCATTTTTGGCTTTCCTATAATTTCAGTGCAAGAAATAAGAGTTAGAAACCTTTTGGAAAGAGAAATCAGTATAAAACATCATGACATCTCAAAGGACAGGATGTTAAGATTTTTTAACACATGAAACACTATTTATTCAACTGTAATGCTTCTTTGCTTCAGTTTTCCTACACTTATTCCTGACCCAAGCAGTGTCGACCTTTCCATCTGCAATCCTTTGAGGGAAAATGCATAAAGGTACACCACATCCACCATGCGGCACACAGCAAGCACTCAGTAAGAATTTGTTCAATAAGCTCGTTGTGAAACACATACTAGAAGAATGAGTTAGATAATATTGTTGCTTTACTCAATAACCACTTCTCAATACTGGTTATAAATGTAGAACTGTGCTGAATGTTACAGTAAATTCCTAAGGGTTGATGAAACTGTCCATATCCACTGGTGGATGCAGTTATTACTCGCATTTACAAGCTTTTAAATAAAGCAAACATTTGTATTTACATTAGAAACCATTACTGCAGTCTAGGTAACAAATATAGTCAAAATCAGTAAGTACATAAAATATCTTTGCAAGTTTTTAGGAGCCAGGAAAAAACCAAGTATGAATTTCATGTTCTTTCTGATATTAACTTTTAGCCACAAAAATTAATTCACTGTAGTCTTACTTCTGGTAACACGTATTCAATGATATATGGATAGTAAAACTCTACCCAAGTTGTTCCAAATAAAATGGAAATAAATTAAGAGCTACATAAAAGTAAAAATGGGTCTGAATGCTTTTTTAGAAAAAAAGACTTTTATTCACTTTACATACCACAACAGGGAAAAGTTGTTATAAATGAAGCAAATAATATATTTATATTATAAACCATGACATTTGAAGAACCCACTCAAATCTGAGGTAAATGATCCTATGCACCAAGTTCAGAAAAAAGAGGAATGAGAAGGAAAAAATTACAACAATGCAGAAAAAAAATATAAAGGAATTATTTTCCCTAGACATACAGATTGATACAGAGTTAAGACAGATATAAAGGGGGATTTGACAGCTCTGGGCAGATCTTGGCCTCCCTACCCCTAGTTGCTCTCCCAGCTCAGCATACTTTCGGAAAGCACCTAATATTTTTTGTCTGAATGCTCTGGGGGCCTAGTGTACTTCTTTTGAATTCATTTATAGTTATGAGGTTTTCCCAAGAAGACTTGGTTGACCTGAGACCTGGTAGCCACATACTTGCTTTACTTCATGGTTTAAAAAGTAAAATTTATTATAGCTCATCTTCTGAATCTTGATCATGAACTTCTTGGGGCTGCCTCTTAATATTGATTATCAAATCAATGGTTAATATTTTTGTCAGACAGTGGAGAACTGATGTTAGTAATTGGTATTTACCTATTACTGATTCCAAACCTGTCTGATCGTCTACCAAGGGTTGATGCGTTTCCAGTGCATGAAGAGTTCTTAGATACATTTGTGGAAAGCTATACTTTCCTTTCTTGGACTTACAAAGGATTTGGGGAAGACCTAGAAGTGCATTAGCTATTAACATACTAACCACAGTTTCTTCTGATGGTTGGCATTTTTTGGCATATTTGGTTAGATAGTAATGCAACAAGATTTCAAAATTACCACCCACTGGCAGAACACAACCTGCTGGTATCGAAGACCAACAGAAGCTCCCACAAGTATCCACTTCAAGTGGGTTATATCTCAAGGACATTATGCTCTGGTTGCCAGTAATTTCTGTGAACTCTACATTTTCATAAACTATTTCTGTCCTCATGTTTTCTGTTGTTGAACTAGAAGTGGAATTAGTCTTCATCAATAGAGTACAGTCTTCAGTGACACTGTATTCCCCAGGAGACAAATGTCTCAGTGTTTCACATGTTCGCAAAGTATCTGCTGCTCTCAGTTCTGGCTTTGAACATGGAATACATGTCTCTAATTCTACATCTGAAACTGTAAAATTTGAACATACTTGTAAATATGTTTGAGTGTTTTTCAATTCAGCTTTATCCTTCACAACCGTGTCCTGATATGGTCTTTGTATTGACTCATTTTCAGGACTTTCTCTCCTATTTTCAATGACAGAAGGACTTGATGGGTCGTTTTGGCCACTGGCACATGTAATGTAACTTAGGTTATGCTCTTTATATAACTGCCGAAGCATTTTCCATGCTCCATGTAAAGCATGCTCGTGTTGCTCAATAAGACCCTGCACTGGTCCACAAAGAATTATACAGTGTGGTATAAATGCACCCCTGCTGACCAAACCAAGATGCACATACCTTTTGGATCTAAGGATGAGTGGCTTACAAAATGTCGCCAAAGCAGTGTTAGGAATGTCACACTGACAGGAGGCCTGTGGTACAAATGGAGAAAGGTGAGTAATCCTCTGGATGAGGGAAACTTGTTCTGCTGATAAACACTCTACCACAGATATACCATTTAGTGCTGCATAATACACAACTAATTCTGGTTGCTTCACACTAGACAGGAGCAATTTTACATTCTGAACACGTAGCTGTTCCATTATTGCTTTGGTTCTTTCCATCATCCAAAATTGAGAAGTCTGCAATTGTGCTTCTGAATTTAGAACAAACTCAGATCCACTACTTGCAAGAGGAAAGTGAATGGTTTCTGTTACTAGGACTATTGCTACGTCCCCATCTGCTGGGCAGTACACAGAAAAATCTCTGGGAAGCAACAGCCCTTCTATGATCTTAGACTCTGACACAGGAAGGCCAGTGACACCAACATTCAACTCTACAAAACACTCATCCATCAACTCAAACACTTCAATTCCACTCGTGCAAGTTATACACTTGAAAAAGTAATTACACATCAACTGAGAAACAAACTTGTGATGGTTTTTTCCCACCCTTCCACAAAAGTAAGCAGTTAAGAGCATCTCTAAGGAACTCCTACACAATGTTCTCCCATTAGCGGACGAAGAAAAGATGGACAGAAAGTGTCTTCTCAAGCATTGGTCCATAAGACGGTCTAACACACATGTCTGAAATGTTAAAAGAGATTGGGAAATAAGTTTCCACTGACAACAATTTTTCCAGTGCCTTCCAAGGGTCTGCATAGTTTCAGATATCAAGCCATGCTTCTCTTTGGCTGTGATGGCACGAAGTCCTCTGAGCAAATGGCAAAGAAAGACAATAAATGCTTTAGCACCATCTCCTGTTTTTTTGAGATGACTGGAAACACATGCCACTATCATCCTGCACAAAAAAGAAATAGAGCAACTCAGACTGTCACAAGGTTGGCTTCCTGCATCTGAATCACATTTTTTTTTTCTGCAAAAAAAAATATTGCCCCTTTAATATATACCCTTCGTTTTAGTTTTTCTTATTCCAAGTCACTTTGTTCTATTCCAAGATTCTAGGACTGGGTAGAGTGAGGACAGGAAAGCGAAATTTCCTTGGGAACGATGACTAGAGGTCCCCGGGAGGCGCTGTAGCCTCGAGAGTACCCTGGTCATCACTTAGGGTCCAGGCACTCTGCTTCTGGACGGGATAAACTCGGGGACCCCGCCCACAGCGCCCGTGCGCGGATACCTGGCGACTGGATGCTCTAAGTGCAGCGCCAGCAGCAGGCGGCCTCCATCCCGGCTGAGCAGCACCTCGCCGGTGGGCTTCGTACACAGAACCTGCCGCCCCTCGGGGCCCACGCAGCGGCTCACAATGGTTTCCAGCACCTCGGCCACCTGCAACGCAGCCTTCACAGACCCCGCGGCGGCCATAGAGCTCGGAGGCCGGATCGCCTCTCAAACCGCTGGCTGGTCGGACCAAAGAAGACTGGGCGCTGCAGGAAGCGGAAAAGGCGGGGAAGAAAACGGAAGTCGGAAGTAATAGCGGAAGCTGCCGCAGCTCGGCTTCTCGGTTGGGCGAGCTGCCTGTCCTTCAACTCGTTCAGCGGAAGAGCTCCCAGTGCCCTTTTAAGTGTTCTCAGGCTTTGTGCCCGTGTATAGACAAGAGGCTAGTACATCAGAGGAACTGTCCCCAAGCCAAAATCCCAAGTCGTTTCCCTCCTCTTCAGCCGCTTCTCCTGCTCTCAACTCCTCTCGTGAGGTGGGCGCGCATGGCGCCTGTGCAGGAGGGAATGGCAGCGCGGGCTGAACAACTTGTAGTTCTTGGCACCGGTCACCGGAAGCTGCTTGTTTCCCGGCTGACTGGCCCGATTCACGCACGTTAGTCCCCACTCCCCAACTTCCTAGTGTGAAAGCAGTTTCAGGATATCGGGCTGCTGGGAAGAATCTGGCGTCGGCCATGAGCTCACGCTTGTCTTCCGCCGGGGGACTTGGCTACATTTTTCTGGATTCATAGTGAAACTTCAGCTACCACCACAGAAGTACTTTTCCTTTAGCAGGGTTTTCTGAAGTGAAAACCAGAAATCCATTAGCAAACCACAGGGGTGGTTCAATAGAATGCTTTAAAAAATACCCCTGCCTATGATTTCTGGATACAGCCCAAGGATAAAAAGTAAAAGTACTACTAGCACCTGCACTTAGGAGCATAGGCCTTGGATTCAAAACTGGGTTTTTTCTGCCAGCTGTGACAGTCAGCAGGCATCTTTGGGCCTTTTTGCTTTTTTTTTTGTAACGGAATGACATGTAAAAACTCTCATAAGGTTTTGAAGAGGTTTCCACAATACTGGAGCACAGTATACCATACTACCCTGCATTACTGCAGCAGACCACTCTCCTGGCACATCCTTTCAAGAAAGGGATATTTTCTAAGATGCCAAAGATTCATTTTGTGTAACAACACAGCCCGTAACAGCTACTAGACTCCAAATATAAAGAAGAAAATGATCTGGCCAGTGTTTCATAGAGGTTGAACATGGAAGGGTTATCCTTACTCTTTTTCACAGGATAAGAAAAACATAAAGGCCTTTCTTTTTCTTCTTCTCATTTAAGATAAGCCCACAACAGGTAGTAGCAAGTGGACCCTGAAGAAGAGTAACAAGAGGATGGTGGACGAATACTCTGGAACAGTGGCTTCTTATTTCATTTGACTCCTTAGGAACTAACAAGTAGTTTGAGAGGGAAAATTGTTTTCCAGGTGAGTTTAATATACATCTTTAGTGGTAAGAATGATTTTTCCTAGTTCTGCTATCATGAGATTAAATTATAGATTCAATCAGTGGGTTAGTCCAAACATTTAGCTAGTAAAGTGGCATGATCAGAGTTCTATTTAAGTATACCGTAGAGACATGGATTCTAACTTAATACTCTTGTACTAATACTGAATTGTTACTGTGTAGTTTTTGGAGTCTCAGCTTCTCAAAGCCTCACATTCTTTATGTACAAGGATTCAAAAAAGAAAGAAAAGTATTAGGTAAGTACAGAGTATAGACAGTGTGTCAAATCCCTTTTCAATGACAAGCCTTTCCCCTTCTTTTGAAACAAACTCTACACTCACACACACACATATACACACATACTCACACACAGAAAAAGGGAGAAAATGAAAAAAAATTAGCACTAAGTAATTTAGTCATTTCATGTCATTAACAAGTCATTTGGTCACAGTTGGCTCTTTTTAAAAATTTTATTTAGAATGTCTACTAGAAGTTAGCATAATTTGACAGATCATTAGAAAAAGTTCAGTTTTTTTCCTTGCTGCAAACATTTTTTAACAGGTTAGGAATAATAGATAAGAAACATAATACATTACAAAACAGTTGCCTAGGACTATCTGTACATTTACTATGCACCTTAAGGAAAAAGAATTTGACAGTGTGCTGTACTTACACTGTAGGTAACGTACTGTAATTCTATCATACAAAACTGACCAGTGGTAGTGCTTGAATTTCTAAATGGCCATTAAACAAAATTTAACTTAGATGCATCTTTATCATGCTAAAAGAAGAAAAACATAACTGAAATTTTGTGGCTCATCAGTTTGTTTCATGGCAATTTTCTTTCAAAAAAAATTTTAACATAATGTAAAACAATTTTCACATGATAAGTGCATAAAGATAAAAATTTCTAAGTATTCCAGAAAGTGTATTCACATTCATTTTGTCATGGGTTTCTTGCGACTCTTCTAAGTATGTTAATCGTATGAAGAAGATACTGGTCCTATAGAATTTAACAGTCTACCTTCAATTTAAAACTAACAAAGCCAGACAGTAGTTAAATGAAACAAAAAGTAAATTAAATACACAAAATTCATAGTTAGAACAAAAAACAAATTACATAATAGTGGCAGGTTATACATTTTAAAGAGTTTTATTTTATACTTAAGTCAATAAAAGTCGAAATGTAAACTTAATGATATTTTGGGATTTCCTCTATTGGCTCAAATTGGAAAATTTGCATAAATGCTAATATTTTGTTTCTATACATTTAACATGATTCAGAATAATAAGCAGTCATTTATGGCCATCAATAATGCCATCATCACTGTATATTAAGCAAACAAAAAACTATTCATCACTTACTAGAAATGCCAGACTTTTGAAAGATGGAATTTTACATATATGTTTTGTTAAATTTTGACTAAGCTGTTTTTCAAAAAGCTAAAACTGCCTTCCACAAAATTGTGTGTATATGGCACAAGTTGACATCCAAAACAGTGTAAATTCCATCGAAAAGGCACTGTTTACAATACTCAGAATAATCTGACAAATCTACTTCAATGATGTCTGAGAGTAAGAATATATTTGAAATAGATAAATAGACAACCCTTATAAAAGTACAGCATTACTGTTTAAATATAGTATAGCTATAGAAAAGGAAATAAAGTGACATAGAGAAATGACCTTTTTATGACAGTTAAGCCTATAAACACTTTGAATCAAATTATAGTTCTGTAACACAAAAATGACAAAAAAATATTCTCTTAAAGGCACAAAAGCATAAATATCAAAATGATGGTGGTATTTGACACAAGGCCAACTTTTCAATGGAATGCAGTTGCCAACAGAGCTGTAACAAAGATTATAAACTGTACCTTTATAAGTGATAGCAAAAAAGTAATTACATGAAATATGAGTTAACTATATTGCTGAAATTTAACATTCCACAATGCCCTGTTTCTTGTCTTTTCCTGGGCTGGTAACATCTCAATAAATGTTGAATAACTGAAGCACAGTACATTTAACAGCTAAAACAGAAATGCACATATCAGTGATATCTAAATTTTCATGAGAAAATAAATTTTTGATAAATGAAAAAAAAATGGTCATAAGGTCTTAAGTCTTAGAAACCATCATGAGGCTCTCAGACAATTGGAAGCTGTAAGTCACATTAAGAATCCATTTGTGAATAAAGATTGATCTTGGGAAAGGAACAATGTCACTCACCTATTATGGCTAAATACAACATTGATTTTGTGTCTCAAAGGATTGACATACTAAGCCTAATGTAAGTTAGCACTGATCTAAAATTAAGCCACCAATTCCTGAGTTTTGTGTTCAGCTTGTAGAAAGGAACTTACACAACTAAAAGCATAAGAGGACTATTAGGTTAGTGTATGCTTTTAGTGTACACCAACAGTCATGAATAACCCTGCTCTTTCATATCAAATAGTTCTTGACTCCTTGGATAAGAACCCATAATAACTGAGTAAAGCAATTTTAAAAAAAGAAAATAACAACCTCTCCAGTCTTATATCTATACAAACAAAACACTATTTACGCTGAATTAAATGTAACATGTAAGTAGGTTAAGACCAAAATCCTAAGGCAGGTCACCAACAGAAACTTTCTAAATTTTCAGGGTTAAAAAGGAAGCAATTTTTGTAATAAGCCAATCAACTTATGTATAATATAATTTAAACCATAAAAAATATCAAATTGTACAATATTTACAAAATATTATACTTCAAAGTGTAGGCATTTGAGCATAACATAGGTAACATAATGTGAATACAAAAATTATAGTGACAAAATACAGAACCAAAATCACCCAACCATTTTCTATTGTAGTCGTGAAAACACCAGGCAAAGGTACATCTTATTTATGCTTTTACCAGTTAAAAAAATTCACATGTATGTATGGAATACGGCACTGACACTACAAAAGAAGTGGCTTTTTATAGAAACCTAAGGGTTAGGGGCAAAAGGCAGATTTTCTCATTTTCCATTTTTACAATTTAGCAAACATCTCTCAATGCCATATTTATCATGGCATTAGCATTTGATTGTAATTTAACCAGTGGCTCATGTTTCTTTTCAAAGGAAATGCAGCCAGAGTAATTACACTCTCTGATCTTCACTGACATTAATAATCCTGTACTTTCAGAATTCTACTATGTATTTTAGGGCAGTATGTTCCTAGATATAACTATCTTTGTATAAGTTTCTTTTCAGGACTGTGTTAATACAAAAACTGAAGAAACAAAACTTTAGAAAGTATGCCCAAGGCTGCACAAAAATTTTAGAGATGTGTGATTTTTGTTACAGATTTTAAGTTACTAGGAACAGAGTGGGATGTATAAAAAGGTCAGTACTTGGTACTCTTGTTAGATGCTCAATGTATTGCACATTGTAGAGAAACCAATTTTGTTGTAGACATAAAGGCCACCACAGAATGTCTTTTCTTATTGCTTTTCTCTTTTTGGCTTTTGAAGTAAAATATTGGTTATCACTTTTTCACTCTACTTATTCACTGAACACACGAGGGTGTAAATGAAAGCTATAGTGAGTTTATCATAATGAAAACACAATTGTCAGCATTTCATACGCTCTATGAATTTCTCTAAGTTTTGGCCTATGTTATGGACCAATTGAACTAACAAAAGTAAAAGGGAA